CGACGCCGCGGCGCTCGAGCACCGCCGCGCCGCCGCGGAGCGGCGCGCGCGCGGCTTCGCCGAGGCCGCGCGCCTCGACCGCGACGCCGCCGTCGCGCGCGAGCGGGACCGCGCGGCCACGGAGCTCGCCGCGGCCGAGGCCCGCGCGGCCCAAGGCGCGTCGAGCGCCGCCCTCGACGCCGCGGCGGCGCGCGAGAAGGCCGCGCGCCTCGAGGCCGCGTGCGGCGACGCCGTCGCCGCCGCCGCAAAGGCCGCCAGGGTCGAGGCCGACGCGGCCCGCGACGCCCTCCGCGAGGCCGAGGCGCACAAGCGCCGGGCCCTCGAGGAGCGCCTCGCGGACGCCGACGCCGAGGCCGCGCGGCTCCGGGCCGCGGTCGTCGCGGGCGCGGAGCGCGCGCGCGACGTCGCCGCGGCGGACGACGCGCGCGACGCGGCCCTCGTCGCCCGCGACGCGGCCCGCCGCGAGCTCGACGCGCTGGCGAAGACGCGCGACGCGGACCGCGTCGCCCACGAGGCCGAGCGCGCGTCGTGGCAGGCGAAGCTCGACGCGGAGCTCGACGCGCTCGACGCCAAGGTCCGCCGCATCCTCCGCGCGCGCGACGCCGAGATCGAGCGCCTCAAGGACGAGGTGAAAGCCGCGCACCGCGAGAAGGCCAAGCTCAGCGACATGCTCAGCGAGCTCGGCGACGGCCTGCTGGGGATGGAGCGGGACCGGAGGGGCCGTGGGGTGGACGGGGAGTTTTAAATCGGACTCTTAGCTAGACGACCGCGCCGCCGACGATGAGGGCCGCGCCGAGAACCTGGAGCGCGGCCGGCCGCGCGCCGAGGAAGGCGATGTCCAGCAGGAAGCACCAGAGGATCTCCGAGTACAAAAGCGTCGCGACGGCCGGAGAGCGCGTCAGCTGGAGGCCCCGCGTTCTCAACGACGCCTGCAGGGCCATCAGCACACCGAGCGCCGCGAGGCCCGGAAGGAAGCCGCGGATGAGCCCCGCGTCGACGCTCCAGAGGCCGAGGAGGGCGGTCACGGCCATCTGCGAGCACGTCAGCAGGTCTGGGCTCGCGTCCTTCAGCGACGTTCGTTGGACGAGGACGTTGAGCGCTCCGCCGCAAATCCCGAAGGCGAGCGCGGCCGCGCAGCCGGCCAACGAACCGCGGGCGGCCGCCCAGGGCCGCGCGACGAGCACGACGCCGGCCAGGCACGTCGCCGACGCGGCCGCGTCTCTTCGCGTGAACGTCGCGGACGCGAGGCTCGCGAAGAGCGCGGTCCACAGAGGCATCGTGAACATCAGGCAGTTGGCCACGCTGAGGCCCGCGCGCGGGATGGCGAAGAAGGCGAGGTGCGGCAGGACCGCCCCGAGCAGCGCCTGCGCGACGAACGGGACCGCCGGGAGCTTCCCTCGCGCCTCGGACGGCGACCGGGCCGCGAGCGCGCCGGTGGCCGCGGCCGCGACGACGCCGCAGGAGAGCGCCGTGACCGATCCGCAGCCGCGCGCCGCCAGCGATCCGGCCTGGAAGCTCATGACCGCCGCGACGCCGGCGGACGTTGCGACGTAGGCTCGCGCTGCGCCGTCCCTGTCGTCATCGGTGGTTGCTGCCGCTCCTCCGTTGCAGCGCACCGTCGTCTTGGTCAAGCGCGGCCCGCCGTAGCGCAGCGATGTTATCGAATGCGACCCGCGGCGGTCGAACAGGCCGAAGGAATGGACGCATCGCGAGAGCAGCCAGACGACGATTCCGGCCTGACTTCTGGCACCCATGTGCTGCGCTTGACAGTGCAACCAAACTTCACCCAAACCTTCAACTCGCGTCAATCATACGCATGGCAAGCATGGACGCTGCCCATCGGCCCGTCTGGATCATCGTCGGCGCCTCGAGAGGCATCGGCCTCGAGTTCGTGCGCCAGGTCGCCGCGACGGGCGCGCTCGTTCATGCTACTTACCGAACAACAATACCAACCGCGGCCGAGGGCCTCGACGTGCGCTGGCACCAGCTCGACGTTTTGAGGCGCGCCCACGCGGAGGCGCTGGCGGAGGCCGTGGGTCCCTGGGACGTGCTCGTCCACAGCGCGGGCATCAAGTGCGCCGACCGGGGGGAGATGGTCCGCGTCAACAGCCTCGCGCCGTTCACGATCACGGACTGCCTCGTGCCGACGGCCGGCGCCGGCGCGAAGGTCGTGCTCCTGAGCTCGCAGCTCGGGTCGCGCGTCAAGTTCGGCGGCGGCGAAGACAAGGTCAACGGCGGGCACACGCCGCGCGACGCCTACGGCAAGTCCAAGTGCCTCATGAACGACTGCTACCGCGAGTCCGTCAAAGGCTGGCGCGAGCTCGGCGTCGCGTCCTGCGTCGTGCACCCGGGCTGGGTCGCCACGGACATGGGCGGGGCGTCGGCGCCCGTCACCGTCGAGGCGAGCGTCGCCGGCCTGCGGAAAGTCGTCGCCTCCCTCGCGGCGGGCGCGCCGGCGGACGGCGCGTTCCTCACGTACGAGGGCGAGCCCCACCCCTGGTAAGATTACTCGGCGCCGCCGCACGAGTTGAGGAGCTTCCAGCGCTTGCGCTCGGGCGGCCCCGTGTTGGGCTGCTGGCAGTTGATCGGGTACTTCGCGGCGAAGGGCGGCGGCCGCGACGGCGGCGGCCCGTCGAGCGCCGCGCGGTTCCTCGCGAACGCCGCGTCGCCGCGCAGCCGCGCGACCTCGGCGTCGAAGGCGGCCTCGTAGTGGCTATAAAGGGCGTCGTCGACGGCGTTGCAGGAGAGGACGGCCCGCCGGCAGGCGTCGTCGGCGCACTTGGGCGCGGCGCGGGTTTTTTTGGTCGCGCGCGCCGCGCCGACGCGCGCGTGGAGCGTCTCCAGGTCCCAGCCCATGCGCGTCGCGACGAGGGCCAGCGACGCGGCCATGTCCTTCTGCATGAGCACGTCGACGCGCCGCCCGTCCAAATCCGCGCGGACGCGCGCCGTCGCCGCGGCCGCGTCGTCGTCCGAGATTCCGTACGCGAGGCTCCGCGCGTCGCCTAAAAGCACCCAGGCGACGTTGTTGCAGAACGTGTTCGCCTCGCCGTCGTCGTGCTTCCGCGCCTGGATCGCCGCGACGAGCTTCGGCGGCGAGTTGCCGTAGCGCTCGCCGACGCGCTTCACGAAGAGCATCGTCGACACGAAGCGGCTCACGGGCTCGCGCATGATGGTGCACCAGTACGCGTCGGGCACGAGCGCGCCGAGGCTCGCGACGTCGAGGCGCGGCGTCGGGTGCCGGTAGCTCAGGTGGTAGCGCTCGCCCGCGGCGCCCCGCCGCGCGAGCTCGCCCGCGCGGAAGTTGCCGCCGTCGCGCGGGTGCAGCGCGTGCAGGCCGAGGTCGTAGCCGACGGCCGCGAGGAACTCGGACACCGTCGTCGACCCGGTCTTGTACGTCTTGACGAAGACGACGCGCGTCTTCTTGGCTTCGGACGTGGAGGTGGCTCTGGTCCTCGCGCGCGGCGCGGCGGCGGCCGGCGGCGGCGGCGCGGCCGCGGGCGGCTGCTTGCGCACGACGGACACGCCCGGCGACGACGGCGCGCCGTCGGGCACGACGGCCGAGTCGAGGAAGCTCGTCATCTCGGAGAGCATGTTCGCGCGCGCCGCGACGACGACGACGAGCAGCGCGCGCATCATCGTGCCGTGCGGGGCTGCCCGGGTTCAAGCAACGCTTCATTGCACTTCAATTTACCACAGGGCTGCGTTCGCAATGGCCGCTGCTCAGCCTAAAATCGCTGTCCTCGGTCTCGGAAAGATGGGCGCGGCCGCCGTGCGGCGGCTCGTCGCGCTCAACTACGAGGTTGCGGTGTGGAACCGCACGGAGGCCAAAGGCCAGGCGCTCGCGGCCGAGTCGGCGCTCGTGAGCGTCAAATCCTCGGCGCGCGAGGCCCTGGCCTGCGTCGCCGACGGCGGCCTCGCGCTGGCCGTGCTCTCGGACACGCAGAGCGTCGAGGACGTGCTCGGCGGCTGCGCGGGGCTCGACTGCGGCGCGGACTTCGCCTTCGCCAACATCACGAGCGGATCGCCGGCCGACGGCCACAAGGTCCGCGACGTCGTCGCCGAGTGCCTCGGCGCCGCGACCTACGTCGACGGCGCCTACTGCGGTCCGCCGGCCTCCGTCGAGAGCGGCACGGGCCAGCTCTTCCTCGCGTCCGACGCCGGCGAGGACCCCGTCACGCGGAACAAGGCGGCGCTCGACGCGCTGGGCGACGTCGTCTTCTGCGGCCGCGTCGGCAGCTCGCGGGCCCTCGACTACGCCGTCGTCGACCTCGCATTCGTCAACTACGTCGCGTTTGCCGCGAACGCGGCCATGCTCGAACGCGAGGGCGTCGACACGGCGCTCTTCGCGCGCGAGGCCGCGAAGCGGCTGTCCGGCACGCCGCGCGCCATCGAGCTCGCGGCCGCGCGCATGGCCGCGGGCCGCGACGACGCGTCCTACGCCGACAAGCCCGTCGCGACGCTCGGCACCTGGCGCAACTTTTGGGCGAGCCGCCTGCCCTACTTCGTCGAGCACAACTTCCCCACGGTCCTCGTGGACTTCGCCGTGTCGATTTTGGACGCCGCGGGCGCGAGCGACCCGGTCCGGTCCAAGGCCGACATGACGCGCCTCCAGGAGGTCCTCAAATTTAAGGACCCTTCGAGCTAAGCTTGCGCCGCCATCGTCGATTCGCCCTCGCAGCGCCTCAGGGGGTCCTCAAATTTAAGGACCCTTCGCGTTAAGCTTGCGCCGCCAGCGCCGATTCGTCCGCGCGACCTCGCCGGGGAGCGCGTCGCAGAGCCGCGTGATCGCGTCCGTCGGCGTCGCGTCCGCGGCGGCGACGCGGAGCGCGAAGCCCGCGGCCTGCGACGTCGCGGAAACGGTCACGTCGAGGCCGGGCCCCGCCGCGCGGACGGCGAAGAGGTCGTCGTCCGCTGCCGCGTCGGCGACGGCCGCGGCGGGGCTGTGGAACGCGAGGAACGCGGCGACGCGGTCGCGGAGCTCGGCGGCGTCGCAGGCCGCGGGGACGCGCAGGACCCGCGGCGCGCGGCTCTCGGCCCGCTTCCGCGCCTTCTTGGCCCCGAAGACCTTGTCGCCCGCGGGCGCGGCCCCGGGCGCCGCGCACGTCGTCCAGGCCACGGCCCAGCGCGTCGTCTGGCCGAGCGTGAAGCGCGTCGTCCGCACGTCGAGGACCCGCGGCTCGGCGCGTAGGTCCGCGAGCGCGCGCTTGAGCGACGCGCGGCGGCCGAGGAGCGCGCTGTGCCACCGGACGCGCCCGCCGAGCGCGACGGAGTCCGCGACCATGGCCCGCAGGAACGCGACCTCGCCGCCGCCCTCGTGCACGGCCTCGGACGCCGTCGCGGCCGCCGTCACGCCGTCGGCGCGCGTCGCGCCGCCCGCGGCCGCGGCGCGCGCCTCCTCCGACTCGAACCACGGCGGGTTCGTCAGTGCGACGTCGTAGGCGTCGTCGCCGCCGGCGGCGGCCAGCGCCGCGGACACGGGCGCCGCGGCGCCGTCGACGACGACGACGCGGACGCGGTCCGCGGCGCCCCAGGCCGCGTTCCGGGCCACGTTCGCGCGCGCCTCGGCCGCGGCCGCCGCGTCGACCTCGGACGCGACGACGCGCCAGCCGCGGCACCGCGCCGCGAGGAGCGCGAGCACGCACGACGCGCCGGCGCCGACGTCGACGGCGCGCAGCGCGCGCGACCCGTCGTCGCCCGCGACGGCCGCGACCCACGCCAGGTAGCGGAGCCGGTTCGGCACGCACGGCACGAGGTGCCGCGGCGACGCCTCGTAGGCGACGCAAAAGTCGCGCCGCAGCAGCGCGCGCGCGACGGCGTAGCGCGCGCCCGGCAGCGACCAGTCCACGCCGCCGCTCGCGTTCGCGACGGACGCGACCCCGGCGTCGACGGCGGCGAGCGCTTTCCAGTCCGTCGTCGCGCCATACTCCGCCATGGCATGGACGGACATGCGCCAGGCCTCCATGCTCTGCTTGTTCAACATCTCGGCATCTTGACCCTGGTTGCATCACCTGTGCTACGATCTACGGCAGCCCGCCGACCCCATCGCATTGCCTTCGCCGCGTGCCGGTTGACCTAACATGGACCAGGCAGCGCTGCAGAAGGCGATTCAGACCTCGATCGACCACACGGCTGTCCTGCTCGATGCCCACCGCTCCCTGCACGACGGCAAGATTCCTCCAGAGCTGCTGCCTGATTTGACGGCGATGCGCTGTACGTGGGAGGTTGAAGCGAGCACGGAGGAGGCGGTCACCTTGGCGGCGAAGGAGCACATCGATTCCATGGCTGAAATTAGTCTCAATGTCAAAAATCAGATCACGGCCCTGCGCTGCGACGCCCCGAGGGCAGCGGCCGAGCCGGCGCAGCAGCAGCAGCCGGTCGCGGCGCAGCCGCCGACCTTCCCGGCGCAGCCGGCGACCCCGCAGCTGTTCGTCAACGAATGCAAAATGCTCGAAGCGGTTAGCGAAGCAGTCCACAGCAATTTCAAATCGTGCATACGCGAGAAGAGCGCGGCTACACTCGCTACGAGTAAAATGTTGAGGGAGCTGGCTGTAGCATCGTGCGCAACAATCAGCCGTGTGACTGAATGCATTTCGGATGCCATACGGGACACGACCATGCACACCCAAGATGCTATGTCCGCTGCCCATAATTTTCACGCCAAGATTCAGCTGGACGTCGCAAGACACGGCTTCGGCCTCGACGGGCTCTTAGACGAACGGCCCCTGAACCCTTCGGAAGCAGAGGCGCAAGTCGCCGAGCCACTCGAATACGACGCCGGAGCCAGTGAGCGAGCAAACTTGTTCGCACACGCGAAGCACACCTCGACCGTCCTTGCGGGAACAGCCAACCACATAGCAACTGAAAAGAAAGAAGCTGTCATGGCTTGTTTCGAAGCCATGAGGATTACGATTTCGGACAGCGTCGGTGCGCAGCGCGGAGCCGCTGAGAAGAACCAGGATTCCCAGAACGAGCTTTTCGAGAAGAACGCGGCCGCCCAGATGCAGCTCTTCGAGGCGCTTCGAAACCCGTAGGGCAATGCGTGAATAGGCGCGCACGATTCGATGCTACCCTGGCCCCTCCTTTGCTGGAGACGAGGCCGCCGCTTCCGATTTTGGATTAGGAACGTCGATCCTAAGTGAGGAGCCCTAGTACTCCTGTGAGCCGGGATGAGCGCCCGGACCCCTCCGGGCTGTGGATTTCACGCCCCGCCACGCGGCGGAGCCGGTTGTGTTATCGCTCACCAAAACTCACAACCCGTGAGCGAGGCTCTAGTTGGTCTCTCTTTAGAGCCCCAACGTCAACCACGCGCACGCAAAAAGGCGCGCGCACGGTGTCTCGAGTTCCTTTGGGCCACGCGCGGGGGACGCGCGGAACGCGAAGGGCGAGAGGCGATGTCACGGGGGTGGTTTTCGGATCCCAATTGTCAGTTTGGCCGCGTTGGGCCCGAGGGGGGCGGGGGGGGCGCCGCAGCTGCGCGGCCCGCCCCGATGGCGCCCCGGCGCTGGCGCCGCGCGGCCGGGCCCTCGGCGCCGCCGCGTGGTCGCGACGCGCCCGCCTCCTTCGGAACTCGTCCGTTCGAATCGCGCGCCGCGCGAGCCGGCGGTCCCCCGGCCCCCGCACCGTTTCGCCGGTGCGGGGCCGCGTGTTATCGCTTCGACGTGCCGCCGCCTCGATGCCCACCCCGTGACACCATCTCTCACCTCTCTGAACTCCCGCAGGCGCCGCGTCGCGATTCCTACGGCGAGCGAGGAGGAAGTGAAGAAGCTATGGTCGAGTCTCGCGAGCCGAACATGCCCTCCGCGATCCCCGCCGCGCCCCCGCTGCCTACGGCGTTGCCGCCGTCGCCCCTCATGAAGCGCTCCGTCAACGTCGTCGCCGATCCGATCGACGGCGGAGACGTCGGCCGCGAGAAGCGGCAGCGCGCGGCGAAGGCCGCCGCCGCCGCCGAGGGCTACGGGGGCGTCCCGAGCGACGACGACGACGAGGAGTTCACGCCCGAGAAGCGCCTCCGCGAGTCCGAGCCGACGAAGAGCCGCTACCGCGGCGTCAAGTACGCGGGCGGCAAGTATATCGCGACGATCCAAAAGGGCGGCGCCTCGAACAGGGAGCACATCGGGTGCTTCGACGTCGAGGAGGACGCGGCGCGCGCCTACGACGCGCGCGCGCGCTTCTTCGGCGAGGAAGCCTGGTGCAACTTCCCCGACGACGCGTCGCCGCCGCCGGTGCCGACGACGGCCGCGCAGAGCTCGCGGTACCGGGGCGTCGCCAAGTTCCGCGACAAGTGGCAGGTCCACATCACGCACGCGGGCACGCGCGACAACCTCGGGACCTTCGAGGACGAGGTCGCGGCGGCCCGGGCCTACGACCGCCGCGCGCGGCAGCTCGGCGAGCACGCCAAGTGCAACTTCCCCGACGACGACGACGAGGAGGAGGAGCGCCGCGCGCCCCTCTGGGACCCCAAGGCCGAGGAGCCGGCGGAGGCGCTGCTCCTCCTCGCGCTCGCCGCGGCCGCGAGCGACGCGCGCGACGGCCCCGCGCCGCCGGCGCCGCGCGCGATCCCGGGCCGCGAGCTCGCGCTGGCGCCGACGATCCGCGGCGCCGAGTACCCGGAGCACCGGAACAAGGCCCACGCCATGGCGGGCCTCGCGAACTACATCGTCGCCAAGGGCGGCGCGCGGGACCTCGTCGCGGACTGGGGCGTCGCCAAGAACAACCGCGGCGACACGATCTTCATCGACCCCGTCTCGGGCCGCATCTTCCGCTCCAAGCCCGAGGTCGCGCGCTTCCTCGGCTTCCAGGGCAAGGGCAAGGGCGGCAAGCAGAAGGCCGAGGCCCCGCCCGCCGCGCTCCCGCCGCGGGCGGACCCCGCCGGCGCCTACTACTACTCCGACTGAAGTAACATCCCTCGTGCGAACAGGATCCCAAAAGCCGCCTTATCACAGGAGCCGGAACGTCTTCGCGAGGATGTCGGAGTAGACGCGCGAGTCGCCGTCGTCGTAGCAGACGTGGTGGCCGAGGTCGTCGAAGTTGCTGATGACGCCGGAGTAGAAGGTGCCGCCGGCCCAGCGGACCTCGACGCGGCGGCCGACGAGGACGTTGGGGTCGTCGTCGGAGTCGTAGGGCGCGAGCGCGTCGAAGGGCTCGGGCGCGCCCTTCGACGGTTTCGCGAGCGTCCGCACGCGGTGGAGCAGGTCCGGCTGCTTCGCGCGGCGCCGCGGCGCCGCGGCGGCGGCGGGCGGGCGGGCGTCGTGGTAGGCCGGCGGCGGCGGCGGCGGCGGCGGCGCGGCGGCGCCGTCGTCGCGCGGCGGCCCGTCGTCCGGCGGCGGCGGCGTCGCGCGGTGGGACGCGAGCGCGCGCGCGGCGCTCGCGACGGCGCCGAAGGCGCCCAGGGCCGCGCCGGAGAAGGACGGCGCGTCGCCGTCGCACTCGCCGTCGGGCCCCGGCGCCGCGTCGCCGGGCCGCCGGGCCGCCGCGGCGCCGCCGGCCGCGCGGTGGAAGCCCGAGAGCGCGCCCGCGCCGCGCGCGGCGTCGGGCCGGTCCGGCGGCGGGCCGTGGCCCGACGCCCAGGTCTCGAGCCAGGCGCAGGCGTGGGCGTGGGTCCGCGCCCAGTCGCGCGCCTTCGCGTCGCGCTTGCACAGCTTGAGCAGCTCCTCGACGGCCGCGCGGACCTTGCCCTCCTTGGCGCCGCGCTCGAAGGCGTGCTCCGCGACGGCGACGGCGCGGCCGAGGCCCTTCGTCGCGCGCCAGTGGCGCAGCCCGTCGTCGACGCGCAGGACGACGCCGAGCGCGCGCCACGCGCGCCGTAAGGCGCGGCCCGCGCCGTAGTAGCGGGGCGGTGGCTCCGCGCCCGGCGGGCCCCGGCCGTCGTCGCTGTCGCTCGACTCGTCGGGCCGCGCCGTGCCCGCGCGCTCCAAGGACGCCGCGAGGGCGGCTAACACGACGTCGCTCCGCGGCGCGTCGTTCGCGACGACGGCCTCGAGCACCGACCGCGCGGCCGCGGACCGCCGCCGCTGCTCGTCCGAGCCCCGGCGGCTGTGCCGCCCCCGGTCCAGCAGCGACGCGGCGCCGTAGGCTAAAGCCGCGACCTGCGCGCCCGTCAGCGCGTCGAGGGCCTTTTTCGCGTCGTCGGGCGCCGCGCGCTCCAGCAGCAGCGCGAGCGCTTCCGCCTTGGGCGCGAAGGCCCCGCCGAGGAACGGCGCCGCGTCGAGGAGCTTGCGCAACGAGTGGGCCGACGGCACGGAAACCTTGCCGTCGTCGGCGCCCGTGCGGAAGGGGTCGTCGCCCGCGGCCTCGGCGACGCCCGCGGCGATCGCGTCGACGGCGGTCCTGGTGGCTTCGAGCCCGGACTCGTCCCCCACCTCGAGCCGCGCGAGCGCCGCGCCCGCGCCGGCCGAAGACCGGCAGACGAGCGCGAGGACGTCGCAGGCGGCGCGCGCCGCGCAGCGCTCGTAGTCCGCGCCGCGGCGCCGCGGCGCCGGCGGCGGCGTCTCGCGCGCGGCGCGGACGAGCGCGCCGCCCGCGTCCGCGAACTCCGGCTCGCCTTCCAACGCGGCGAGCGCGGCGGCGAAGACGCCGCAGAGCGACTCCCGCGCGGCGTCGTCGGGGTGCGCCGCGGCCCGGCGCAGCGCGCGGTCGAGGCCCGGCGCCGCGGCCCGGAGGTCGCCGAGCACCGCGCGCGCCGCCGCGCGCGCGTTTTCGCCGCCGCCGGCGAGCGCCGTCGCCAGGGCCGACGCGCAGCGCGCCAGCAGGGCCGCGGACTCGTCCGTGCGCGCGCGCGCGAGCGTGCGCACGCAGAGGACGCCGCCGAGCCGCGCGGCGGCGACCGCGGCGCGCGCGTCGCGCGCGGCGTCGTCGAACGGGCTCGGCCGCAGGCCGTGGACGACGAGCCGCGCCGCAAAAGCGACGGCGCCCTCGTCGAAGGCCGCCCGCGCGCGGCGCAGGGCCGCGTTCTCGCGGTTCATGCGGTCGAGCGCGGTCCGCGGCGGCGGCACGAGGCCGTCCCAGCGCCTCTCGCGGCGCCGCGGTGCGCCGCCGTCGCCGTCGCGGCGCGCCGCCGCGGCCTCCGGCGCCTGCTTCGAGCCCCGCCGGTGGTAGACCAGCAGGAAGGCGTTGCGCGTGCGCTCGCGCTGGAGCTGGGGCCCGCCGTTCGCGAACGGCCGGAGCTCGTCGAGGCCGCCGCCGCGCGCCGCCGGCGCGCGCGGCTCCGCGCCCCCAAAGCACTCGGCGCCGAGGTCCCGCGCGTCGAAGGGCGCGACGTGGGCGTCGTTGAACTCGAACCAGTCGCCGCCCTGCTCGCGGACGAAGCTGTAGTAGTGGCCCGAGTTGCAGTTGCCGCTGTGGACGACGACGCCGCCGAGGTCGTAGAGCACGGGCTCGCCCCGGCCCACGCGGTCGCGGTCGCGCGCGTCGCGGTCCGCGTCGTCGGCGTCGCTGTCGTAGCCCTCGTCGCCGCGCTTCACCGCCGGCGCGCCGAGGTCCAGCGGCGGCGGCGCCGCGGCGGCCGCCGCGTCGGGCCGCGACGGCGTCCGCTGCGCGTCGCCGCGCCAGACGTAGGGCGCCAGGTCCAGCACCGCCGGGAACTCGAAGCGCGAGTTGATCTTGCGCTGGCTCAGCGTCGTCAGGTCGAACTCGAAGCGCTTGAGGTGGAGCAGCAGGTGGTTCGGGCCTGCGTGGAAATCAACCAGTGAGCTGGGACGTCGGGGCCAAACTTCAGAAATCTCTAGCTCGGTCAAGTCGAAGTCGATTTGGCTGATTTTTGGACGAATCGATTGTTCTCGTCAATTTCTCGAAGCACAGCAGAAAACCTCGCGTCGAAACGGTCGCATACGCGCACATTGAAGTCGGGTTGAAGATTTGATTTCCACACAGGTTCGGGCAGCGCTTGATCGACGCGCGCTTCGACGTCTTCTCGCGGCGCCCGCCGTCGCGCCACGAGTAGTCCACGAGCTCCGGGCTCACGAAGGCCTCGAGGGCGTCCTCCAAACGCCGCCGGTCCTTGACCTGGACGCTCAGCATGTAGAAGGGCTCGTCGCGGCGGCTCGAGTTGCCCGCGGGGTCGCGTACGGAAACCAACTCGTGCGCGAAGACGCCCCCGAAGGCCCGCTCGAGGCGCGACGCCGCCGTCGGCGCGGCCTCCTCCGCCTCCGGCGCGGCGACGGCGCCGTCGCCCGGCGCCAGCGCGAGGCGCTCGACCTGGGTAAATAAATTCGAGAGGAACTCGGACGCGTCCTGCTGCACGCGGACGTCGACGGGCTCGTCGTCCCAGTTCTTGAAGTGGGCGCAGAAGTCGCGCCGGCTCACGGTCGACGCGTCGCGCATCTGGAGCCGCGTCACGAGTAACTGGAGCTCGCGGGCGAGGCCCTGCTGCTTCGCGTCGAGCGCGAAGGCCGCCGCGCGGAACGACCGCACGGACACCAAAAGTTGGAGCGTCGAGTTGAGGTAGCACGTGCACCCGAGATTCTCCAACCCCGCCAGCCCCTCGTCGCCGCGCCGCGGCGGGATGGCGACGACCGTCGTCGTCGCCGTCGCCGCGGGCGCGCCGCCCGCCGCGGACGCCGCGGCGCGCGGCGACACGAACTGCGTCGGCGGCGGCGCCTGGAGCGCGCGGCCCGGCGGCGGCGGGCCCGGCGGCGACGGCCCGGACGTCGGGCGCAGGGCGCCGTCGTCGCGCGGCGCGAGGCCCTGGGGCGCCGGCGGCGGCAGCGCGTGCGGCGCGCGGACGACGTCCGCGGCCTCGAGGCGCGCGGCGACGGACTCCGGGTCCCGGAGGTCGTCGCCGGCCTCCGGGTCGCCGTGGAGCCGCAGCGCCGCCTCGGCGACGGCGAAGAAGGCGCCGCTGTCGACGTCGCAGAGCGCCGACAGCGCGTGGAGCGCGTCGTCGCGCTCGGGCCCGCGCGCGACGGGCGCCGGCGCCGCGGGCGCCGCGGCGCCCGCGAGGTCGAGATCGCAGACCCGCGCGAGGTGCGCCGCCAGGGCCGTCGCCGCGGCGCCGCTCGGCC